AAAAAAAAAAAAAAAAAAATTGAGATGTTACATAGAAATAAAATGATAATCTTACTTGGTCTATAATTTTTTTCTGTTACATCTTTTAACTATAAATTGGCAAAAATAGGTCAAAGATTAGGAGTAATAAAATCGTAGCTCGAGTTGAAATAATTTACATCGATCTGCGCTACTTACTACTGAGCTTTGATATGCGTGTTTTGTAATTTTCACACGAATCAATTAATGTTCTTGTCCAATACTTTTAATAATTTTAATTGTAGATTTTATGCAACATCCCAATTTAAAAACAAAAATCGAATGATGATATCAATGAGTTAACGGATTCGTATGTACAAAGAACTGTTAATAATCTCCGTTATCTCCATAGATACTTACTACCTAAACACTGATACATGAAACAAAATGGTCGTACACGTATCGTTATATCTTACCATATCCACTGTAGTCATAGCCACCATAGCTACCGTAACCACCTCCGTAGTAGTCTCCATAGTTGCCGCCATAGCCATCATAGCCAGCTCCGTAGCCACCACCATAGCCGCCTTGGCTGTATCCACCTCCGTAGCCCTGGCCCCATCCACCTTGGCTACTGAAGGCACGGCCTCTTCCACCTCTAACTCCACCACGACCTCCTCGGTTCATACCGCGCATGCCACCCATCTCTGGTCTGGGAGTAGCTTTTTTGACTTCGACCTACACGTAAAATTGATGTGTAGTGCTGTGCTTAGTTTACATTTTTTTCAGCTATATCAATACTTACCTCTTTATTGTTAATGGTCTGTTTAGATGTCTTGAGCAATTCATTGGCAACCTGTTCAGACTCGAAAGTAATGAAACAGAATCCTTTCCTTTGGTTCTTGGTTTTATCAAAAGGCATTTCAACTTCAACAATCTAAGACAAAAATTACAAAAATTAGTGAGCCATTAAATCACTAAATTTCAGTTAGAAAAAAAAAAAAAAAAAAAAAAAAACTTACTGTTCCAAATTGAGAGAAAAAGTTTTTGATTTCTTCATCGGTCAATTCAGCTGTAAGACCACCAACGAAGATTTTACCATGTCGAGCCTTAGCCTTTTTGGGGTCAACTTTCTTGTTGTTGATAACGTGATCTCCATGTGCCATAGCCTAAACAAATAAAATTGACTACTGTATTTCCATTGAAATAAAACTGGTACGTTTACTCTGCTACATCAGATCAGAAAAGTATTGTCTTCACTTCCATTCAGTAGCAGAACTGACTTTTTTAATATCATCACGTAATATTTTATTAATGGATTATTATTGCGTTGTTTACTTTTGTTTTTCTCGGGCAACTTTACAACTGTTGAATATTCAGGTTGTTTTTGTAATTATATACAAATGTTTTAGATTGCTATATCATTGCGAAACAACGGTATTTAGAGTATAATAGCAATTTTGCTTGTGTTTCATAATTAACAGTACAATAGTGTATAAACGACAAAATAAAGTTTTTTTCAACATATTTTTTCCTTTTTAAACTGAAAATTTTTGTAACACATACAAAAAGTGACCACCTGTTGTACTAGAGCACTATAAATAATATCTATAACATGTGTGTGGGAGTAATGGTAATTTTTGATCGAGATCTGTGGGACACAAAGTTTAAAATTGCAGTACGTAATGGAGCTTCGTAATACGGACAGCTAATTAGTTATTGTGGGCTTGTCTACTTTACTTATATTGGCTTGCGCCATGGGAGTTGCAGCTTTAAGCTTTTATACTTGCTTTCGTGATGCGCATACCATTTCTGTACCCATTGCAGGGAGAAATTAAGATGCATTTGTTTGAAACCAATACGTAAAGGGACCCACTCAACTTTTAAAATATCTTCTTAGTATGACTAATTACTTATAACTAATTGGCATTTTTCAAAGGCAGTTAATTACCTTGTTTAAGGCTTCAGCCTTCATGAAAACAATGAAAGCAAATCCTCTCGAACGACCAGTTGCTGGATCAGTTTTGATGTTGATGCTTTCGATCTCGCCAAAGGTCGTAAAGTGTTCTCTCAGTTCCTCTACAAAACAAAAATGAAATGTATTAGTAATCGAGAATGACAGAGATAACTATTTTAAGATGTGATCAATGTACGCTCAGATTTTTTAATAGTCTCATCTAACAGAGCCATTCTGTTGTCAAAAGTGTCCTAAGAAAATCAACATCATATCAAAAGTGTAGTGAATAATAACATAACTGCTTTTTCACGATTGTTCAATAATACATTAACAACTATTGAGTTACATCATGCAGCAAAAACGGAAGATAATTCGTACCGTCATATAAATCATGGTTTACTTTCGATTATCACTAATATGTGCAAAACGCATTAATTTGTTATGGGAATCAAGATAAATAATTGCTGTCTTTAAAATTTTAATTAAATCAAGCAGTCTTGTTTCTTATGAGATAGGACAATCTTCTTAACAAGAGAAAAAATGTACAAACTTACTTTCTGTTGTTTCCCAGCTGAGACCACCAACAAACAGCTTTCTATAAATGGAAAAACAGAAAAAAAAAATTGTTATTGGTTGTGAAGTAATAATATCGATGAATAACATTATTCTAAAATAAGTGAAACGAATAAGTTCACAGTTCTTAAAGACTGCCACTTGTGTCCTGTTTTTCAATTTCAAATTAATATTTTAATTCTTATAAAATTAACACTGAAATATTTGAAAATAAATATTCAAGTTAAAGCATCAGGCAACATCTAATTTGAATAAAACAAAGTTTTGTATATGTTAATCAATAACAATTCAATGATCATTTTATTAAATTACAGTAAAATCAAAAAATATACAATCAACAGGTTTTCGATGTCAGCTAAACATAGTTTCAAATCTGCTGGATTAAAATTTTAACGCTTAAGACTCGAGTTATATCGTCAAGGAAAGCCAAGTAAGTATAGAATGAAGTACCTATCATTCAGTGAATCCTCCATGACTTCCGTAGACCTGCAATGGTAACACTAGTTATTCTACTTTGATGAAAAACGCGGTTTATTTGTATGTTTATCTAATGGATGTTTGACTACTTTCAAGTCAAGAAAAAAAAAATTTAACCGACAGTAAACATGGGCGGCTGGAGAATGCAAGGAAGAATCTAAGAAAACCCCTGTTAGAATAACTTTATTAGACGCTCTGTGAGAAAATTTAATTTTTCTGTACACTGCTATAACTAAATTCAAGATTAATGGTATCAATCGTTTATCGTGAACTTATTACATTGCTAGTTTCAAATAAATAACAACAAAAACTACAAAATACTATGAAAACTTGGAAGTTTTCAGAAACAATAACAATTTCATAACATAAAGTTACATTATTTTTTTTCTTTCTTTTTTTTTTACAAGAGAAATTAAAGTTACAGCTGAAAAATTTCACAAAAATGTATAAAAAATCGCAATCTTTATTTTCTTTATTAAAAAACAGAAAACAAAAAACAAAAAAAAAAAAACTCAATTGAGTTTGGAGATAATGCATTATGTTTGATATCACTTGACAATCTTATATTATCATTACATTAGTTTTTCATTTACTTGAATAGCTCCCAACACAACTTTGCATATATTTTTTTTTTCTCTACAACATTAATTGTCTTCAAGGCTATGATTCCCATCTTGCTTGTATTTAAAAACGTTTGATTTTCTTGGCAAAACCCAGTTTGTCTAAGACAATAAAACGCGAGCGAAATATTGGAATTCACTTTGTATTTTTTGATGGAAAATTTGAGGTTTGAACTCCGCTGCTAATAAATACCGTAGAGGCATGTGGCCCTGTGAGTCGACATCTGGCTGTAGCTCTCAGGCGCTGAAGCCGCGAAAAGCAGCCACTGACGAGCAGCTTTTTGTTGCACAGCTGTCCAATTGTTCACGTGCTGGCTTGTCACCTGCAGATCAAGCCACACAAATTGGGTTAGTGGCATACCGCGCTCCTATACCCTTGTCAATACTTTAGACAGAAATTTTTTACTGTAACTTTGATACCTCATTTTAATTTTGCTAACAACGATAAGACTGCAATGTGCTCCGGCTCACGATGCAATTGGCACTTTTAACGAGGCTTTTTAAAAAATTCGATCAATTCTCGAAATGCATTTTTGAACCGTATAAACTATTATCTGACTTAGATCATATGCCTGGAACTTTTTACTGTAGAGAATTTTTTTTACAACACTTTATGCTTTACATTTACAAAGAATGTCTGAAAACGTTCGTGAATCAACAGCTTACATAATGTCACAGCTACAAGATTTACTTTGAATGTGCAGCGATTGTACTTTACACATTTACATTTAAAAAAATTTACATAGTAAGTACAAGGATTGAATACTCAAAGAGTCAAATCACGTTATTTCTAGTATTAAGTACTACTACTATTACTCTTAAGTACAATTAAATGCGTCGAAAACCTTTAGAGCACACATTTGAAAATTACACCATCACATTGTTGTGAATCTGACTGCATCTTTGTACACACTTCAAGCACATTTTGTAATTATTAAATACTATTTTTACATTTTTTAAATCATTCATGATGCTAAGAATTTAAAACAGGACTGCTGGTGCATACAATGTTAATAATTTGATGACTTTGTGATCACAATATGTTGCTGTATGATGAAAAATTCAAGCTTTATTCATTAATATTACTAAAATAACTTGCAAGCTTTGCAAGAGAAATCCAATTACCAACTGATGAATATGCCTTTGTATACAAGAAAAATACTTGTTTGAATATATTGACGTTTTACAATCTGATAGGTTTATTATTTATAATTGTTTTAAGTATTTGATTGAAAATAAAAAATATTATAGTACGAATTGAAATTTCGTTTATATCTAATTATCTGATGGTACTAAATTTTCTGAACAGTAACACATGTTTCTTAGGGTACAAAAAAAATTTCAGCACAGTCTATTTAAAATGCACTTCTAATGTCAACATTTATTTAAATATCCAAGGTTTCTGAAAACAGTTTCACCAACTTTGATTAGAAACTGAATATACTTTCAAAAGTTTTTTAGCCTTTACAGCAAAAGTAAATAAAGGTTACGAATGAGATTAAGTAATAAGTATTACTTTCATATAGTGAATACTGTAATTTCGCACGCATATTATTCAGCAATAGTTCATTTTTTTGGCAACAAAATGAAACAAGTTATCTGAAGTATTGAAGATTGGATGAAGACAAACGTTGAGCACAAGTAGTCCAAGAGGTAAATTGCATGTAATTATAAAAATCTTTACTCTAAATGTGAATTTCAGCTGCGGTTTTTTTTCAACATTTTAAACGTAACTGCTTTATTATCTTAATTTATGTAGAATGATAGGAAATACACAAATTTTCACTTTAACACTTAAAAACTATTAAATTATCTTAACTAATGTGTATAGTCGCATTTTTCTTTAGATTTAACGTTTGATTACTAGTATTTTCTTAGTAAATTTGCATCAACCTTGACCTAATAGAAATACGCGTCAGTGTAACTTATACATAAACGTATAAATCTCATCATCTGCAAAGTTAAATAAAAACAAACTGAGTCTGTATAATGTGTATGTGAATACTCGACAATTGCAATCCTTTAGACACCTTATTTGCCGTAAGATTAAAATGGAAGCTTTAATATCTAAAAAAATATTTAATACTACAGCATAAGATATGTAACAAAGTTCAAAAACATGATAAAACATGGCATATTAAAAATTGATAAGAACAAATTTACAACTTACTGTTTAAATGTGATTGTTTAATGAATTTTTCATTTTTGACGCTATTAGTTGATGTTATTGGTTTATTATTCGAAACTTACCGTTATACATATAAATTTATCATTATATTAAAGAGCCTTCTCAAATAAAAGGTATTGGTAGAAATAATTACGTGGAACTTTTGTGACAAAAAAAAAAGTAATAACGTAAAAATTTCATTCAAAATTGAAAAAATATCTTCAAACTAAGGCGTAGAGTGAAAATTGATTTTTGGGGATGGTCGCAAAGAAGTTGGATTAGTTCCACTAATTTTGTACAAAATACACAAGTTGGAAAATCTAAGTCATGCAAACAAATGGGTAGGCAAAGCAATGACTAGCAACTAGCAACTCACAAGGGAAATAAAGGCAATTGAAAATAGAGTAATAGATTGAAGAAAAAAATTAAACTTTTATCTCAACACAAACTTTGAGGTGAAATTTAACAAGCCCTGTAAATCCATAATGGCGGTAACTCCGTAGAGCCCTGACGCCGAATCAAGGAGACGCCATGCTAGGATCTTATATCGTCACAGATTAACATAACGCTTTGAAAGTATAGCATAAAAATTTTTTAGGTAAGGAAACCCAGGGTATCTTTCCAACAGTCGACAGCACATGATTTTTTCGCTACAATTCTTATAAACATGATTGCGTAACTAATGTTTACAGTTTACATATAAATGTATATATATATGTATATATATATATATATATGTGTGTGTGTATAAATACGTGAGTATTAATTTAATTTAACGATATTTAATATCACACGAACGCACACAGGCACCTGCAAATAATTACACATTCCTATTGAGAAGTCAAGAGATTGTTATGAAAACTCATATCGTTTTAAACGATAAGTGGGACGTAATGTTTGTAGTAAACATTTATTCAAGCCAAAAACGACTTTTTTTATGTGGAGGACACAGGTAATAAGCCGCAAAAATTCAATTTTCACTCAGTTTGCTTTACTATTAATTAAAACAAAATTTCCTCAAGAAATGAGGCAGCAGCGCGGGCCGCTTTCAACACTATTACAGAGTAGGCATAGACAGAAGGGTATTGCTGAGAGCCGAGACTGTCGACGCCATATTACTTTTGTCAAATACAAGACTCCGATTCGCACACAAGCCCATCGATGGCACTGCATCGACTTCATTGGCGAACGCGTGGAAAATATGAGCTCCAAGAGCTCGCCCAGGATTTACTATAAGACGTGTGGCCGTCAAATTTTCAGCTAGAGATGAAAAAAAGCGCGATGCCGTCGGATTGCCAAGAGGCTCCGAACGCCTGGGACGGCCATTTTGCTCTACGCTGATTCATTACCTAGACGCGCAATGCCTCGACTCTCGCTTCCGCCGCCTTTAAAACTATAACGAAGCACGAGTATTTCCCACGAGAGCAAGACTCGAAATCAATGCTCATTTAGACGAAACGATGCAAAGGCAGAGTTATCATGAATATGTTAATTAGTGACGATAAGAATCAAAACAAGGAATTGCAAGAACTCGGGCGATTAAGAGTACATTAAATTTATCAGTGTGAAAAACGAGTGAGGCCATTGATGGAGGAGAGTAAGTCTAGTGAAGGGAAAAAGACGCTGATGAGCAAAGGGTTACCTGTCTTCCTGGGACTCCTTTTCGGCGTCGCCCCCGGCGTTGGAGTCCTCGTTGTTGCCACTGTGATTTTCGGACTCGCCATTCTGCTCAAAGTTTTGCTCACCGACATCCTCGCTGAAATCTTTGTTCTCGCCCTGCTGCGGTTGTTGCTGCTGTTGCTGTTCAGTAGTCATTGTTGATGTGAAAAATGATAACTAGCAACTCTGAAGTTGAAAGAGCTGTGGTGCGCGCGGGCAGTACAAGCTACGTGAACTGTGCTGGGAGACACGAGACGACTGAACGTCCGAACTGTTCGGCTGCTGAGTAAAGAAGGAGAAGCGGTAGCGGAGCAAGTCGACGTTGCCGCGTTTCAGCCGAGGCAGTTCAGTGTGATGACGCATGCACTTTTCGCGGCAGGGCCGCACGGCGCAGGTCAGGGCGTCGACGAGGAAAAGCGGGGTATTTTTGGGGGAGAAGGAGAGACAAGAGTACCGCAGGGACGTATCTGTATTCTTTGTATTTTGTATATATTTATATAATTCAAAGGCGTATAGAGTAATGTTGGTATAAAAATGAAAATTCTCTAGTTTCATTAGGGTCGTCATATTAGATCATACCATTGACTTACTAAATTTTGTTTTAGTCAACATGCTAAGTATTTGTTCGTTATATTTTGAACCAAGAAAGTAAACTTTTTCAAGTCAGTAATTTCTTAGGAATAAAATAAATTTAGGAAAAATGTAGAAAGTAAAATATAAGGGTTATTCAAATTTCAACCTGAAGTTTTTCATTCCCAAAACGCTATTTATTGTAAAATCTTGAACACATTACGTATTTTTTATAAGTCATAGCAGATTTTCGTAAAACTTGTTCAAGTACATGAGTATATAAATTTACACGCGCTTATTGAGATCATATACGGTACAATTTGTAAATAATTGCGAGGGCTATAAATGCATAAGTATAACTACAGTCGCCCCTTTATTAAATTAATTTTCGTAGGAGTGTATAGATCTTGATTATCTAATTGAAATTAAATAATTGTAGGTAATGTATCAATGACATATACAAGCAACGTGATGTATATACTAATTATATGTTAATAACATAAATAACAAAAGTTGGCTATAAGAGCAATAATTTTATTATTATTTAACAGATAAGGGATCAAGTGCCTCTAAAATTTCTTGGCTTTTCAGTTAAAATCAAATAATTTTACTCAGTAACTACGCTAGTTCTCGAAAAACAGTTGTCAACTCCTCGTGTACGAATAATTATTATTTTAATCAACGACAGTCATGCAAAATTTTTGAATTTATTTTCACAGTAATTAATATTATATAATATATTAAACATCTGTAAGTGTTTTCAACTTTAAATTTGATGGAAGCACGAGGTGAGGTCTATGGGTGGTCGAAAATAAATACTAGCCGCAACTCTCACCGGAATTGATGAACACCATGGTATGAAGTGGTCTGTAATATTTTTGTCATAGTAAATTATGGTGAAGAGTTTGGTTAATGGTATTTAATTAAGGAGGTTTGGGAGTATCATTCAGACACTAGAGAGGTGAGGAACGGGGAGTCCTCCCTGCCCGCGCATTTTAGCTCCCTTCACCGCGCACCTCCTCTTGCACTTTACAAACTTCAAACTGTACGACTGTAATTGATTACATTTTTTAAAAATGCCTGGCGAGTCATGATTTTTTTGTCGAGCATCTTCCTTTTGTACCAAGGTATCTATGAAAACTTTTTTTTTTATTCCAATACATTTAGAATATACCTTAATTTCAATTAAAAGGCAAACCTAACCTTGCTTTCTCATAGGAGACCGTGTTAAACTGTCAATATTTCATAATTTCTTTCTCGAAAATCTCCCCTGGTGAAAAATCTGAAAAAATTCATGTGCAGTCCTGGAGCCGTACCATATAACTTTTTTTAGCTTCGCGGGCCTAATGTTATAACATAGGCCGATATACAAAAAAATAGTTATATGGTACGGCCCCAGATACATAGAGATATTATAGATACATCTATAATATCTCTATGCCCAGATATGCTCAAATATAGCATACATTTTTTGGCACGATTATACATTTTGAACTTTTTAAAAAGTGCCATGTAATGAATTATATAAACCAGCCGCAACTTTAATTAATGGAACCCCCACACACGAGCAATATCACCTGCAATTTTGCCAATTGTAATTACAATACAAACAATTATTTTTATGTATAATACAATAAAATAAATTATTTTTTTTAAACATTGGATAATTGAAAAATCTTTGTTCGTTTTTAGATGGGTATACCTATATTGTAAATTTCAGTGCTACCGCAACAAAACTTGATGAAAAAAAATTACTCCTGAGTTTGCTGCTTTTTCACGCAAGCCAAATATGAGTTGACTACTTTTTCACTTATTTTCTGAGTTGGCTCTGGCTTTTACCAAGCCGTCGAAATGCATTATAAATAATCTTAGATGAATATTATATTGTC